ATCGAATCTCAGCGTCGTTGACGCCTCTACAAATGCTCGCGATGCCGACATCCCGTGTGAAACGCAACCCTGCACTACTCAGCCAACGGTCGCCCAGCTCTCGTCTGCTCATCACGTATCAACCCAATAACCCATCAAACATAAAGTTGTGCCGCTGCTGCTGCGGAGGCCACGCTTGGCTGAGTGCCGATAAGCCGTCAATCGCGTAGCCGGAGCTAATGTAATAGCGAGCGTGGCTCCCGGCCACCGTCGGCACGGGACAACATGCAACCCGCAGGTTTGTCTGTGCCATCCACCAAACGTCGCACCACACTGGAGACTCACCCCTAACTTCGGCGTCGCAGATACAAGAGACGCACAACACTGCCTTGCTGCTTATCTCCACTGCATTACCAGCACACGCAGACCAGCAATGCGCTGAGTGCTCCTGCGCCTTCGCGCGCAAGCAAAACACACATTCTGAATCAACATGCGAATCCCGCCAACATAGCCCCTCCCCTTTCACCCCATCACATCCAACACCCAAACGGTACTAGCTTAGGCCCTTCCCGGCGCACCAAAGTGACGCTGTGCCCTGACGTTCGCGGTCGGTAAGACTCATGCAGAACATTACTTCTCTGCAGAGCCACCGCCTCACAGACGGAAACGTTCGCACATGTGAAGAGGGCTGGTGCGACCCTCCACACACCCCAAATCCCCACAACACTCGACACACCCCAAATCCCCACAACACTCGACGGAATCTGCATCGCCACTCGCAAACACTGATACAGGAGAGATGCTCAGTTAAGCAAGCAAACACGCTCACTCCCTGACAAGAACGAAACAATCCGTTGCGCGTAAGCTAGCGTTCGCTGCGCCTCGCCTGCCCACCCCTCCTCCACCTCCCAGACCCCACGTTAGCCAGTCCCGCCACCACTGCGTACCCATCCAACTGCGATCACCCCTAACACCCGCTCTACTGAAGAATGTACGACCTGTGCAGCTGTTCCCCTGCCAGGTGTCGTGAAGGGCAAGCCACACGCAGCGATGCCGGCGTGGTGCGTGCTACTGACGCCCCAGCTACTCGGCGCTACACGGCGTCACGCGTGCTACTGACACCCCAGCAACCGTGCACTACTACATCCCTCCACCACGTCTAACGGTTCGTTATTTAAGGCGGACCACGCGTTCGTAAATATACTTTTCCTTCTCAGTAGGTCGTGCTGTCCCGCTGCGTAGTTCCATGCCTACCACTGGGCAGCCGTACCCACGGCGGTCCACGTATTCCACCCGCATGTAGGTAGAAACTGCCATCCCTCGAATCCCACACGAAGGCAGCGCTACATCCTGCACTGACGTCATTGACTGAGGCCCAAAAGCAAATGAGTCTGCACGGCATCCTTCCTATTGGGGGGTCCAATACTGTAACCACCCAGAACTCTCCCACTCAGCACCTAATCATCGACGATCTGGTGGACGCCTGCGGCAGTGCCCCTCGACAAACAAACACAAATTATTTTTATTTTCGCATTTAACCCCGATGCTTCCAGGTCTTACATACTGCGCCGACTCACGCTTGCTTTAACGCATTCGCAGGCCGCTTTGCACTCTCCCCTCAGCCACCCGTCAACACGACTAGCTCTGAGCAATAAGCTGCTGTGTACCTGCATACGCAACTCGCGATGAGCACGCCGTAGCGTACTCCGGAGTGATTTAGCGTGCTCATTGCAGCTTTAATCCACCAAATCGATGCACAGCGTAATGCCCGGCAATTCTGCGCAGAGGCGACGAAACACTGCACACCATCTGCTGCTCGACATTTCTGCTCATCAAACAT